TGTACATATGTGAGTAGTGAGTAGGTGAAAGTGAGGTGGTATTGTACATGTGTGAGTAGAGAGTAGCTGAAAGTGAGGTGGTATTGTACATATGTGAGTAGTGAGTAGCTGAAAGTGAGGTGGTATTGTACATGTGTGAGTAGTGAGTAGCTGAGAGTCAGGTGGTATTGTACATATGTGAGTAGTGAGTAGCTTAAAGTGAGGTGGTATTGTACATATGTGAGTAGTGAGTAGCTGAAAGTGATGTGGTATTGTACATATGTGAGTAGTGAGTAGCTGAGTCAGGTGGTATTGTACATGTGTGAGTAGTGAGTAGCTGAAAGTGAGGTGGTATTGTACATGTGTGAGTAGTGAGTAGCTGAAAGTGATGTGGTATTGTACATATGTGAGTTATGAGTAGCTGAGTGAGTGAGTATGGTTTTACGCCGCTTTTAGCAATATTCCAGCAACATCACGGCGGGGGACACCAGAAATGGGCTTCACACATTGTACCCATGTGGGGATTCGAACCAGGGTCTTCGGCGTGACGAGCCAACGCTTTAACCACTAGGCTACCCCACCGCCCCTGTGAGTAGCTGAAAGTGAGGTGGTATTGCACATGTGTGAGAAGTGAGTAGCTGAAAGTGAGGTGGTATTGTACATATGTGAGTAGTGAGTAGCTGAAAGTGAGGTGGTATTGTACATATGTGAGTCGTGAGTAGCTGAAAGTGAGGTGGTATTGTACATATGTGAGTAGTGAGTAGCTGAAAGTGATGTGGTATTGTACATATGTGAGAAGTGAGTAGGTGAAAGTGAGGTGGTATTGTACATATGTGAGTAGTGAGTAGCTGAAAGTGAGGTGGTATTGTACATGTGTGAGTAGTGAGTAGCTGAAAGTGAGGTGGTATTGTACATATGTGAGTAGTGAGTAGCTGAAAGTAAGGTGGTATTGTACATATGTGAGTAGTGAGTAGGTGAAAGTGATGTGGTATTGTACATGTGTGAGTAGTGAGTAGGTGAAAGTGAGGTGGTATTGTACATATGTGAGTAGTGAGTAGCTGAAAGTGAGGTGGTATTGTACATGTGTGAGAAGTGAGTAGCTGAAAGTGAGGTGTCATTGTACATATGTGAGTGGTGGCTGAGTGAGAGTAGCTGAAAGTGAGGTGGTCATTGTACATATGTGAGTAGTGAGTAGGTGAAAGTGAGGTGGTATTGTACATATGTGAGTAGTGAGTAGGTGAAAGTGAGGTGGTATTGTACATATGTGAGTAGTGAGTAGGTGAAAGTGAGGTGGTATTGTACATATGTGAGTAGTGAGTAGGTGAAAGTGATGTGGTATTGTACATGTGTGAGTAGTGAGTAGGTGAAAGTGAGGTGGTATTGTACATATGTGAGTAGTGAGTAGGTGAAAGTGAGGTGGTATTGTACATGTGTGAGTCGTGAGTAGCTGAAAGTGAGGTGGTATTGTACATGTGTGAGTAGTGAGTAGCCCCAACGGAGGTCTCATTGTACATGTGTGAGTTGTGAGTAGCTGAAAGTGGGATGTGTATGATGAATGAGAATTCTGAGTAGCCCAAACAAAGCTGTCAACATATAAGTGAGTAGCCCAAAACCAAGGTGCCAGTATACATGTGTTAAAATCCACTTCAATTTCTTGTTGAGTGAAGGCAATGAGGGTATGAGATATGTACATGACAGTACATTCAAACACTTACGCATCCAAGATGGACTCTCTACAGCTGTACAGATTATCAAACTTGGTCTAGAAAGAAAAGAAACAATGGGTATACCACAGATGTCCATGAAGCACTTGTCACCCTGACAGGTATATAGATGTTACCCAGTAAAGCATTCAAATCTACAAGAGAATCCCTCAGTTAAACCTACTCCACAGCCAGTCATATTAAACATGTACACACAGGGCAGGTGGAACGAGCTGACGAACTGGCCTCATATTGCACAAGGAAAATGACAGAATGTAACCTGGAGACATCAAATTCTTCTGGGCTGAACTCACTGCAGTGACCAACAGTTCCAGCACTGATTTACTGACAAACAGGAGTGACACTACTGGAAGTACAGGAACACGTCCCTCAAGCAACTCACTGCAGTGACCAACAGTTCCAGCACTGATTTACTGACAAACAGGAGTGACACTACTGGAAGTACAGGAACACGTCCCTCAAGCAACTCACTGCAGTGACCAACAGTTCCAGCACTGATTTACTGACAAACAGGAGTGACACTACTGGAAGTACAGGAACACGTCCCTCAAGCAACACAATTTCATAACCATTAGGACAATCAGCTGAAGATGTCTTCCCTCTGGCCCGGGGAAACATACCAAATTGAATTGGCCATATTGAATAGCTAAGATTGAATTATTTCCTTGCGCTATGGCATGGTGAAAGAGAATAGGTATTAACCTTACTACCTTCATATCGAGGACTGCCTTTCAGTTAGGGTTGTACAACAACTTGGAACATTTGAATATTCAAGGCCAATCTGACAATCACTTTAGCAGAACAGAAAGAAGGTATTTATGATCCAACTGCCAGTGACTAGAGAAGTTGAACATATTAAGGTCTGTCAGACTTCAGCAGATCAATGCGGAGGACCAAAATAGACTATGTCTGAAGTGTGAATCACAATGTCAGTCAATCCAGCAACATCCCCTAATGATCTCACTTGCAGCATGCCCCAAACACAAAGTACCAGTACATCTACATCAGTGGGTTGGACGGAACAGTCCCAGCCAAAATCCTCAAGTCCGTAATGAAGGTTCCTGACCAAAAACCAAGAACTACTGAGTCATAAGTGTTAAGCCCCTATTTTTCTTATTGTGATACTGTTCAATTGTGATAATGTAGGTGACCTGAGAGGTCAAGGACATATGTTGGTATCCTTACCTTGGTGACAGAGTCGTTGACATTCATAGCTGGCACAGTGAGTTTGCCAGATTTAGAGAGCTGGTACAGTCTGTGCACTCCAGTCACACTCTCCTCTACAATGCCCTTGATCATGTTGAACATGGCTGGGTACTTCTTCAGCATGAGGTGTGTGGCATCACCACCATCGTCCAGGATCTATTAACACACAAAAACACGCAAATCAACCTACTGCTTTGTACTAGCAAGCTTATACTCATCTAGTAGAACCAGGCCTGTACAGCAGAGTTCATTGGGTGATCTCACTCTGTATCAATGTAGCGGCCATAAAATTTCCGAGTCCCATGCTGGGATTCGAACCACAGACCTTCTGATCGGAAGTCGGATGCCTTGTCCAAATGACCCAAGAGGTTAACCCCGTCAGCAAGCTGACAAGGTAAGGATGTCATCTGTGGGATGACTCCACGCCCTGCTACATCAACTGTAGCTGGTCTGACATGGGAAGAGTTGAGACCTGTACAACCAATCACTGGGTGATCTCACTGTGCATCAACTGTAGCTGGTGTGACACAGGAGAGTTGACAGACCTGTACAACCAATCACTGGGTGATCTCACTGTGCATCAACTGTAGCTGGTGTGACACAGGAGAGTTGACAGACCTGTACTACCTATCACTGGGTGATCTCACTGTGTATCAACTGTAGCTGGTGTGACACAGGAGAGTTGACAGACCTGTACAACCAAAAACTGGGTGATCTCACTGTGTATCAACTGTAGCTGGTGTGACACAGGAGAGTTGAGACCTGTACTACCTATCACTGGGTGATCTCACTGTGTATCAACTGTAGCTGGTGTGACACAGGAGAGTTGACAGACCTGTACAACCAATCACTGGGTGATCTCACTGTGCATCAACTGTAGCTGGTGTGACACAGGAGAGTTGAGACCTGTACTACCAATCACTGGGTGATCTCACTGTGCATCACCTGTAGCTGGTGTGACACAGGAGAGTTGAGACCTGTACTACCAATCACTGGGTGATCTCATTAAGTGTTTATATATCACCAGTGTGATGCAGCAGACACTGCCCTGCCATCTGAAGAAAACTACAAGTATGACAGTCTCATTGGACAAACATGCTATACTTCAATACTGTATTATTTTCTGTTGGAGAGGCAACAATTTCCAGAATGAAATGATCATGTCGCAACTTATGAATCACTAACAAAGAACATCAGAGAAGTTTAGGCCCAAACTGACCATGTTTGGCTGCCACCCATCTGCATTGATACATCTGTCTATGGACCACCAGAAGTCTTCCTCAGTCTCTCCTTTCCAGGCAAATATGGAGAATCCTGCCTCCGCCAGTGCCGCAGCTACCTCATTCTGAAATAGAATCATCTCACTACATTCTTCACATCATGTAAAGATCTTTCCAAAATACTTCAAATATTTTTTCATTATAATCAACTGAAAGTAACATGAAGTCATATGTTCCTCCTTGCAATGATCATGTGTTTGTCCTCCACCACATGCGATACACCTGGCAGGCCCTGACCACAATCAGCACATCAAAAGCACTTAACTGAAGCTGCCTCTTAGGACAATGCAAAGTAACACCAGAATTCCCTGATGTAAATTGATCATCTTAATCTCCCCAATGTCCAGTTTTATCTGGCATTGTTTAAGTAAGTTTATACAGATGAACTGTTTATAACATGTCAATCTGCAGTTAGTGAGTGAGTGCATGTGTAAACAACGATCAGTTCTGTGTAGAATCAGAAAGTGACATGGCAATAATTCCTCCAGAGAAAAGCAAAGGAACAATGTAACTGCAGGAACAGGTGCTGACTTGTGCACTTTGTATTCCATCTGGACATAACTACGCCAGAAAATCTACAGGACTTTGAAAGTAATCTAAAATAACTTTAGATGACAATTATTCAGTTTTCAGTGTTTCCTGATTTTTTTCAAACCAAGAACTAAGAAGGCAAGTTTTCCTGTGTGTCCTACAGTATGCCACTATCCTCTGTACAATGCATCACCTGTAATGAAGGGTCTAGCTTCTCCTGAACTGATACGTCAGCCAGAACTATATTCACCTTCTGTCTGCTCAACCTGGATCTCTGAATGCATGACTTCTATTTCCGAACACAATAAAAAGGACTCACGATCAATACCTAAACAAGTTTAATGCCCTTCCCTCGGCTTTTACTCTCATCACCATCATTGTTACTGGTACAGTAATGACTTACTCTGAATTAATCAATCCTAGTCCTATTCATCTATCTGTCGATTCCTCCCCAGTCCACACCTGACAATTGCATGTAATTTGTTTCATAGAAACCATGTGTATCACTCGTTACACATGCCTGTACCTATGTCTGAGTAGATGGTGTCAAAACACCGGGAAATCAACTTATTCCCAGAATTTGTTACTGAGGTGCTTAGAGTGAAATGACTGACTTTTGAAAGGCTGTGACAATTCCAACAGCTGTACAACTGTACCTGTGTTGAGTAGATGTTGCACGCTGCCCATCTGACAGATGCCCCGAGAGCTGCCAATGTCTCTATCAGCACCTGAAACAGCAAGTCAAGCAAGTTACAGCAGATGGACACATATCTGTAGCATTTACTGCCTGTCAATAGAAGGATGTCCTGCTACACGCTCACATACTCAATAGGGTGATCATCACTAGGGCTGGCTATCTATACACATCACAGAGATCAATAGCCCGTAAGTAAATATGGATCGATTATCGATAAATATTGAAGTAACATCCAGTAAAAATGAAAAAATAGTCTGAAAGAAATTTACTTATTTCATATTACTTGTGAGTGGAAACACATTTGTAGGAATTACTATTATCTACAAGCAAGTTGTGTATTCAGCCTGTAAAACATATTCAGCAGATTGCTATCTGCTAAAGGCGAAACTGTTTTGGAAAATTACAAACTTCACATCATTACAATAGTATATGTAAGATATTAACATTGACACAATTTTCATTTTGACAATTATTAATGTTCCCATTGACAATATGTCCAATTACAGATCTTTGAAGCCAGCCCTACATATTACACACTGAGTATGCCTCAACACAAAGTGTTCATGACGACACAGTCATTCCGCATTGTATAATGGTTGCAAAGATCAATTTTCTGTAAAATGTAACACTTATGATTACGAGATTACAACCAGTGCCTCTCTGGGGCAGCTATCCAATGATCAACATCCCACTGGACCAACGAACTACATACAGAAAGGTTCACAGAAGCAGCTGACTCTCACCTTGGGCATATTCATACCATTACTTAAACACTGAAAATAGGCAACATGTCTTCCCAAACAGGAAACACAAAAACAGTCATTCAATGAAAAACACATTTAATGAAACCCAGGTCTAATAATATCCATCCTACAGATCCTGCTAACTCACCAAAATACTAGTCCTAACATCAAAGTCCCTGAGAACAAAAATAATCAATATGACAGGTTTTAGATTTCAGATGCCTTGTCAACACCATGTCTGATCTGTGGCAAAATGTCAGTGTTGAGATAACCTTGCAACAAAGCAAACAGTTCACAATTGCCAAGGGTAATTACCAACTTTGATAGGGAGTTAATAATAAACCCCTTGTGCTTGACCAGTGCTGATGGAGCTGAGCCAATGTTACACATTCAATACCATCATTTAAAGCTACAAATTGTGGTCTGCCGGGATGTAGACAGACCAGCGAGAAGGACGAATGGGTGACGATGATTTGAGAAAGATGAGTGGGAAACAATCAATATATGGGTCATTATCAACACATGGAATCAGGCCACATGGGTCTAACACAAACCAAAGGAGCTGACATCATCACATGAAAACATGTTAAGGTAAAAAACCTCACTTGGAAACCATTTTATGAAATAAACAAAGTACCTTAAAAGCATGACAGCTTTACACATATATTTAGACATGTCTCGCAAAAATGGTGTAGAACAAGAAAGGTGTTTGTGAGAACTTGCAAACAAAGAAGCGACGCACTACAGGCACTGATCATGACTTCTAAAAACATTTAGAGGAACGTCAAACACCTCCAGTTTAGGAAAACAGAGAGTTTCATGTCAGAAACCCATTAACTACCCTCATAGCTACCCACACTGGTGTTACCCTGCACTTCCTGGTAAGAGACCATGACCTTTAATTTCAGCCAATCACGTGCTGCACATGAGTACAAGCCATTACAATCATGTCATCATATAAACATACATCAAACAAGTCATCATACAAACATACATCATACAAACATACCTCATACATGTCATTATACAAACATACCTCGAACAAGTCATCATACAAACATACATATCATCATACAAACATACATCATACATGTCGTCATACAAACATACATGTCATCATACAAACATACATCGAACAAGTCATCATACAAACATACATCATACATGTCATCATTCAAACATACTTGTCATCATACAAACATACATCGAACAAGTCATCATACATACAACATATCATAAAACATACATCACATGTCATCATACAAACATACATACATACATACATGTGTCATACATCATACATGTCACATACATACATCATACATGTCACCATACAAACATACATCATACATGTCACCATACAAACATACATCATACATGTCACCATACAAACATACATCATACATGTCACCATACAAACATACATCATACATGTCATCATACAAACATACATCATACATGTCATTATACAAACATACATCATACATGTCATCATACAAACATACATCATACATGTCATCATACAAACATACATGTCACCATACAAACATACATATCATCATACAAACATACATCATACAAACATACATCATACATGTCATCATACAAACATACATCATACATGTCATCATACAAACATACATCATACATGTCATCATACAAACATACATGTCACAATACAAACATACATCATATCATCATACAAACATACATCATACAAACATACATCATACATGTCATCATACAAACATACATCATACATGTCATCATACAAACATACATCATACATGTCATCATACAAACATACACATCATATCATACAAACATACATACAAACATGTCATCATACAAACATACATACAATACAAACATACATCATACATATACATACATCATACATACAAACATGTCACATGTCATACATACATCATACATATCATACATATACATGTCACCATACAAACATACATCATGTCATCATACATAACATACATACATACATATCATACAAACATACATCATACATGTCATCATACAAACATACATCATACATGTCATCATACAAACATACATCATACATGTCATCATACAAACATACATCATACATGTCATCATACAAACATACATCATACATGTCATCATACAAACATACATACATACATGTCATCATACAAACATACATCATACATGTCATCATACAAACATACATATACATGTCACCATACAAACATACATATCATCATACAAACATACATCATACAAATACATGTCATCATACAAACATACATCATACAAACATACATCATACATGTCATCATACAAACATACATCATACATGTCATCATACAAACATACATCACATGTCATCATACAAACATACATCATAAACATGTCATCATACAAACATACATCATCATACATGTCATCATACAAACATACATATACAAACATACATACATCATACATGTCATCATACAAAAACATACATCATACATGTCATCATACAAACATACATCATACATGTCATACATACATCATACATGTCATCATACAAACATATCATACAAACATACATGTCAAACATATACAAACATATCATACATGTCATCATACATCATACATGTCATCATACATACATCACATACATCATACAACATCATACATGTCATACATATATATTCAAACATACATCATACATGTCATCATACATACATCACATGTCATACATCATACATGTCATCATACAAATACATCATACATATCATCATACATGTCATACATGTCATCATACAAACATACATGTCATCATACAAACATACATCATACATGTCATCATACAAACATACATGTCATCATACAAACATACATCATACATCATATACATCATACATACATCATACAAACATACATCATACATGTCATCATACATACATACATCATCATACATACATCATACATCATACAAACATACATGTCATCATCATACATACATCACATATCATCATACATGTCACATACATACATACAAACATACATCATACATGTCATCATACATACATCACATACATACATCATACATGTCATCAACAAACATACATGTCATACAAACATACATCATACATGTCATCATACATGTGTCATCATACAAACATACATCATACATGTCACCATACAAACATACATCATACATGCATACATACATCATACAAACATGTCATCATACAAACATACATCATACATGTCATCACACAAACATACATCATGCATGTCATCATTCAAACATACATCGTACATCTCATCATACAAACATACATACATCATACATGTCATCGTACAAACATACATCATACACATATCCCAAATTTCAAACCTTTACCGCGAACATTTCTTTAGTTTTCACAAATGCAATGTTAATTACATGACCTAGAGTATAACTGACTTTGCAATATCTTGAGAAGTATTTCAAGAACATTTTGGCGTGCCATCCTGCATATATTCCAAATAAGATGACCTTAAATGGAACCCATCATAATGAAGAGCAAGTAGCATGCTTGCCATTCATACAATATAACCATGACATGCATACTGTAACAAAAGTCATACTGACATACTTTACTGATGACCTTCCATGTTTATGTTACCATCTTTTCAAGGTAGCATAATAAGGAAACTCATTAAGATTTTCACGATCACCTAAGCAAGGTTCTGATTGGTCAGATGAAAGCCTGATTAATACATGGGAGCCTGATTAATACATCGATTATAGATCAACCTGACAGGCTCAATTATCAATATGAATATGCAGAGTGTCAAGCAGCACTACATGTAATGACAGTGTGAAGCTGGAAGCCAACAGATGTCTCTGAGGTACGACTGCAGGTTCCATCTGGCTGATGACATTTGTTGCTTGTTGCTCACCGAGGCATTCAATACGGAGTTTCATCCATGAATGCAGATGATCTAACTCATGCGTGACAAGGATCCAACTAAAGACAATGTACTTCATATGTTAGTCTAAACAAGATGAAAAATACTTGTGAATATCAAAAGAAATTCACTTCATAAACTAAATGTATTTCAATACATTATGTAATGCTGCGAAACATAAGCATTTCCTTAACAAATGCAATCATAATTTTAAATGTTTCATACAAGTCACTGACTCAATGCTATGAAAGATCATGACAATCTACTTTGTAACTTCAAATAAACTTTTCAACCCAAGTCTCTGCTGTGGCAGCCATTTTGAATTCTGTAACTGAACCAGTGATATTTGAAGCAACTTTGTCATATTTTTCTCTTCACCTAACAATTTGTCCCCATATATTGATCATAAGCATAAAACTGGTAGTTGCATCTCAAAATACATGAGCACTGGAAATAACTGCAGAACCAATATCTATCTCCATCCCCCCAACCCATACCATCACCTAACACTACCATCACCTCAACCCATACCATCACCTAACACTACCATCACCCCAACCCATACCATCACCTAACACTACCATCACCTCAACCCATACCATCACCTAACACTACCATCACCCCAACCCATACCATCACCTAACACTACCATCACCCCAACCCATACCATCACCTAACACTACCATCACCCCAACCCATACCATCACCTAACACTACCATCACCCCAACCCATACCATCACCTAACACTACCATCACCCCAACCCATACCATCACCTAACACTACCATCACCCCAACCCATACCATCACCTAACACTACCATCTCTGATAGATGGCATAAGCACAAGATGCGGGAACAATCAAAGGTCCCTGTGAAAGCTGCTGTGCAAGCATCAGCTTATCCTCATCAATTACCAACGATTTTTCTATCGATAATATCACCTCATTCTCTACTTTCTTCCCAACTCTGAAACATTATTTTCAATGCAGAACACAAAATTGAACAATAAACAAGTATACACAACATAACATTCTGAGACAACATGTGAAAGCAGTGAGCTTATTATATATAATCCACAAGTCCACAAATCCTAATTGAATCCTAACAACCTGATCTACACATTGAGGTGTAATGCCTCTGACCTCACCAAGGTCAACACAAGCATCACAAATATTACCCTTCCTTCAAGAAAATGACCCCTAAAAATAAAAAAAACAACCCATGACTTAAGGTCCAGGCACAATTTTTATTCACATATTGATTTTCCTTTGTGGAAATCTCTGTCAATGTTAAATGGAAAAGTCTGATGAGAAGAGAAATTTCCATCTCACAAAAGAAGACATCTCTGTCTATGACATCGCCAAAATAATTGAAACTTCTACATGTCAACACTAGGTGCTACTGATGCCCTTTGAACTTTAAGAACATAAATCTTTCACAGTCTGAAATTATATTTCTATTCCTGGTCGTCATCTCATTTAATAGCTCTGATAGGAAAACATGCAACAGAGACGCCCCCTCATCAAATTAAGCTTCTAAGTAGAAGCAAGACAGTGATATTTTCTTGCACCAGTATACAGAGCTACACTCTAGTCCCTGCTACTTCCGTTTGTTCACCTTGGGCAGTTACAAGTAACAATTCCCATCCTTTGGTATGTCTAATGAGCCCTCATCACAGCTGCTGAGGTTGGAGGGTCAGGGAGGGACTTCAGCTGTCCTTATCTCATTGCTCACACCCAACTTAAAAAATGCTAGCATCACTGTGGTGACGTCAGGTAAAATCTAGATCTGCTATTTGTCATGATTTAGCAGCAATGTGATTTACAAGTCACCTGGACATCCTACTAAACTAACAAGGGTCTTGCCGACAGATTTAGACATCTCATTCCTCATGGCTCTCTGTAGTAACTGCAGGGTGCTCATCATTGGAACCCAGTAAATCAATGCCTATCTGTTAGATATGGAAGGCACAGGCAGACTCCAGCAAAGCTGATAAGAGGGGCAGGTAATGCCATAATGAAGGCCATGTCTTCTAATCAATTTTTTTGGATGGTAATGAAGGGACTTCATTCAAACCAGTAGTATCACCTCATTATTTGGATGCAATTTAGTTGACTGTAGTAATTGCGGATGTACAAAGAAATACTCTGTAACTAATATAGAAATTCATGTCTCATACTTTCATCTTCAATGCTCTCATCATAAATCACAAGTGCTTTCTCCTGACCGCTGCGACGACGGAGTCCGAGTGACATTACTTCCACCTAATGTGCAACCAATGGATGTCCCTTATTGATCACTTCTATTGGTGGAGAGGTTGGAAGGAGTCAGCTAACTCCCAATTCCCAGCCAAGAAGTGATGGAACCCAACTAGCTGCCATGTGATGTAGACACAGTTGCAGTGATGAGACCCAAGTCAGTGTTGAACACACAGCAATGCCTTTCATTGTCCAACAGGCAGTAATCACTACCTCATCTATTCTCATTAGAGTCACTTACTGAAATGTTTAGATGAAGCATGTCTAACATACATCAAAATCATGATTCGGTTTAATCAGGACTCCACCTGAAGTGTCCACAACAGAATCTGTGACATTTACAATAAGTTTCTTGGAAGCTTGAGTGAGAGAGTTTGGTTTAACGCCACTTTTTGCAATATTCCAGCAATATCACAGCAGGAGACAGCAGAAATGGGCTTCACACATGGAAGCTTGAATCATGAACATTAATGCCATTATTCTGCTGCATGACACTATCTATTTAAAGAAAGCACCCCTTCATGACAGCCCCTTCATGACAGCACCTAACACCAAATTCATAAAAGTGCCTTTCATGAAAATGGCAACTTCATGAAAGCACCTCCCACATAAAAATGCTTCTCTCATGAAACCGGCTACTTCATGACAGTGCCTAATTTATGGGTGCCTATGTCATGAAACTGCTTACTTGACAGAAGCACCTACTTTATGACAGCACTTAATTCATGAAAGTGGTCAAGAAACAAGATGCAAAGCAAAAAACTAACTTCAGACACAACAGTATGTGGATATGTGTCTCAAACATGTTTGTGGAAACATGAGTAAAAAGCAGGGATTGGGAAAGGCAGGGGCCATGGGCCATTTTGCACATTAGAACAAAAAATGGCCCATTGAAAATGTTAAGTTTACTATTGATACAAGGACAGTGGCCCATTCTAAATTCAGAAAATGTCTAATAGTCCTGAAAATGGCCCACTGTCAAAGTTCTCTATCCCAATCCATGAAAAAGCGAAAAAAACAAACAAACATACTGTGACATCCTTGTACTAAATCTGATCACAATTTTGTTTCACTAAGCCAGCGGTTTCAACAAACATAACAAAAACACAATTGGAGCAGTGAAGTATGTAGTGTGGATCATAATGGGGCAAATATGACATGTTTAACATGGTTTCCATGGCAATGTTTAGAGACATCACTGCTGGAATTATCCATGCAAAGTTCAGCATAGTAGGCATAATGCCCCCTATCAATCACCTAAGATAATCTAAGCTGGTGTACCTCATCTCAAACAATGCTTCAATACACAATAACAGAACTGATCAATCACTGGGACAAGCTAACCTGATAATCCTCCTCAACAACAGAGTTACTTCTACAAATATATTGATCTATAATTTCACATATAGCATGAAATCAACAAAACATTTTCCCACTGTAATATTAAAACATCTTTGTGATGCACCAAATTTGCTTGAGCATTTGCACAGCAAGAATCACACTCCAAAGACGATAAAGTTTCAGAGTTGAATGAATACCTTTCGGAAAAACATGGATGAAGTACACAGTTTCAAGAAACAGGACCTATGATCCATTGACTGAGCTATTTGTAGCTACATCACGATAGTAAAGCCACGGTAATTCACAAATCCTCATCAATGTGAGCAAGCCTGCTCCATGATGGAAAAATTGCACTCAAGAAAAATATCAAAGCCGTCTATACGTAGGGAAAGTCTGCCACAAGATTTAAACGAGATTAATCAAGATGTAAAGTCATGAAAATACCCTTCTCTTCCATTAGGATGTTATTCTAGTAAAAGCTCTGGAAGGCAAGAGGTTACTTACGGCAGTTTGCGCTGTGATATGTGTGCACCCAATTATTTTCGCTCCCACCAGAGGCTTATCTGCTTCAGCTCTTCTCCGTAGTGCCATAAGCCCTGGCATTTCTGAAACATTCAATATATCAAAACATGATCAAAACTCAAACTTAAACCCCTTTGTTTCTGAAATATTCACAAATGTTTAGCCCCATCTCCTCTTTGAATGAAAATCCGTCAATTCTATATGAATGTATTGCCCCTAATGCTATATGAATGTATTGCCCCTAACGCTATATGAATGTATTGACCCTAATGCTATATGAATGTATTGACCGTAATGCTATATGAATGTATTGCCCCTAATGCTATATGAATGTATTGCCCCTAATGCTATATGAATGTATTGACCATAATGCTATATGAATGTATTGCCCCTAACGCTATATGAATGTATTGCCCCTAACGCTATATGAATGTATTGCCCCTAACGCTATATGAATGGATTGCCCCTAATGCTATATGAATGGATTGCCCCTAACGCTATATGAATGTATTGCCCCTAATGCTATATGAATGTATTGCCCCTAATGCTATATGAATGTATTGACCGTAATGCTATATGAATGTATTGCCCCTAATGCTATATGAATGTATTGCCCCTAATGCTTTATGAATGTATAGCCCCTAATGATATATTAATATATAGATCCTAATGCTAAAAGAATGTATTGCCCCTACTAAAGGTCAACATTAGCATGTTTTTAAATCTTGTACTAACTTTGAATGGGTAGGGTTACAAACTACTGTCTACAGGACAGTGAGCAGCCAGTGGGTTCAGAGAGGTGTCCAGGTCTGTCAAGGTCTATCTGGGTGTTCATGCATGTTCAGGGGTGTTTGTAAATAGGATGTCTTCTTGTGTTCAGTTAACAGGTTTGTAAAGAGGGTATCTTCTTGTGTTCAGTTAACAGGTTGTAAAGAGGGTATCTTCTTGTGTTCAGTTAACAGGTTTGTAAATAGGATGTCTTCTTGTGTTCAGTTAACAGGTTTGTAAAGAGGGTATCTTCTTGTGTTCAGTTAATAGGTTGTAAAGAGGGTATCTTCTTGTGTTCAGTTAACAGGTTTGTAAATAGTATGTCTTCTTGTGTTCCATTAACAGGTTGTAAACAGGATGTCTTCTTGTGTTCAGTTAACAGGTTTGTAAAGAGGGTGTCTTCTTGTGTTCAGTTAACAGGTTTGTAAATAGGATGTCTTCTTGTGTTCAGTTAACAGGTTGTAAAGAGGGTATCTTCTTGTGTTCAGTTAACAGGTTTGTAAAGAGGATGTCTTCTTGTGTTCAGTTAACAGGTTTGTAAATAGGGTGTCTTCTTGTGTTCAGTTAACAGGTTTGTAAATAGGGTGTCTTCTTGTGTTCAGTTAACAGGTTTGTAAAGAGGATGTCTTCTTGTGTTCAGTTAACAGGTTTGTAAAGAGGGCGTCTTCTTTTGTTCAGTTAACAGGTTGTAAAGAGGGTATCTTCTTGTGTTCCATAAACAGGTTGTAAAGAGGGTATCTTCTTGTGTTCAGTTAACAGGTTTGTAAATAGGATGTCTTCTTGTGTTCAGTTAACAGGTTGTAAATAGGATGTCTTCTTGTGTTCAGTTAACAGGTGTGTAAATAGGGTGTCTTCTTGTGTTCAGTTAACAGGTTTGTAAATAGGATGTCTTCTTGTGTTCAGTTAACAGGTTGTAAAGAGGGAATCTTCTTGTGTTCCATTAACAGGTTTGTAAATAGTATGTCTTCTTGTGTTCAGTTAACAGGTTGTAAATAGGATGTCTTCTTGTGTTCCATTAACAGGTTGTAAATAGGATGTCTTCTTGTGTTCAGTTAACAGGTTTGTAAAGAGGGTGTCTTCTTGTGTTCAGTTAACAGGTTTGTAAATTGGATGTCTTCTTGTGTTCAGTTAACAGGTTGTAAAGCGGGTATCTTCTTGTGTTCAGTTAACAGATTTGTAAATAGGATGTCTTTTGTGTTCAGTTAACAGGTTTTTAAATAGGATGTCTTCTTGTGTTCCATTAACAGGTTGTAAAGAGGGTATCTTCTTGTGTTCAGTTAACAGGTTTGTAAAGAGGGTATCTTCTTGTGTTCAGTTAACAGGTTGTAAAGAGGGTATCTTCTTGTGTTCAGTTAACAGGTTTGTAAATAGTATGTCTTCTTGTGTTCAGTTAACAGGTTGTAAATAGGATGTCTTCTTGTGTTCCATTAACAGGTTGTAAATAGGATGTCTTCTTGTGTTCAGTTAACAGGTTTGTAAAGAGGGTATCTTCTTGTGTTCAGTTAACAGGTTTGTAAAGAGGATGTCTTCTTGTGTTCAGTTAACAGGTTGTAAAGAGGGCGTCTTCTTGTGTTCAGTTAACAGGTTTGTAAAGAGGATGTCTTCTTGTGTTCAGTTAACAGGTTGTAAAGAGGGAATCTTCTTGTGTTCAGTTAACAGGTTTGTAAATAGGATGTCTTCTTGTGTTCAGTTAACAGGTTTGTAAATAGGATGTCTTCTTGTGTTCAGTTAACAGGTTTGTAAAGAAGCTGTCTTCTTGTGTTCAGTTAACAGGTTTGTAAAGAGGATGCCTTCTTGTGTTCAGTTAACAGGTTTGTAAATAGGGTGTCTTCCTGTGTTCAGTTAACAGGTTTGTAAATAGTATGTCTTCTTGTGTTCAGTTAACAGGTTTGTGAAGAGGGTGTCTTCTCGTGTTCAGTTAACAGGTTTGTAAATAGGATGTCTTCTTGTGTTCAGTTAACAGGTTTGTAAAGAGGGCGTCCCCATCTGGGAGATGAAAGTGCAGGTGTTAAAGGAAGAAGACAGCAGAAAGTGGTTGTTGTCAGGTTCAAACAGTGGAGGTGGGTGTTGTGTACAGAAGTCAGCAATCAATACATTGTTATGTCAATCCAAGCAACAATATCATATGATTGAACCAAGAAATAGGGACAAAGATACAAATGGTTAAAATTTGTTCAACCACATGTACTCGAATAAATATACAGATAATTAGAACCTCTTTTTTAAATATTTTGACACTAGAAAGCAAGCCTGTAATGCACTGTGAGATGATCACACCCTCTACGCATCCTGTAATGCACCACATGACAGCTGTCATTCAACGCTCACCTTGTTCAGCAATCTCAATCTCTCGTCTCCCAAATGCATTGTGTTCCACATTTCTCACACAGAAGTCACTAAAACCTTTGGAATTTTTCTGAAATCAAAAGAAATTTGACATTAAAACATTACGGGTAAAAACACTATGTTTACTGTGAAAACATCAAAGGTACTTGGTCTGTAATGCCATAACGTGCAGGTTGTATATATCCTCCAGCAGTACAGTGAGAGAAGGACTTTGTATCATGCAACTTTCAAACAAGCGACCTCTCTGGAGGCAATGTCAGTTTGTATGTCTTCCAACACACTCACTAAGATATATGCTTGATCAATACAAGGACTTGTTTTCATCTTGTTAGTGGATGTGTAGATGCATGATAACATTAGATAGTGATCACAAGGATATAACAATCCATGGGTTCATCTTTCAGTGTTTACTGCAGCAATGGATCTAACTTAGAAGACACAAAACAAACTGATGGAAAACAGAGATTGAATGACTTCAAGCAAAAGCTCCACCATAAAGATATTCAATGACAAACTGCAGCCATTTGCCTGAGGCATTGGAAGTTGAATTCTAATCTCGTTCAGTTAACAACTTCTATTCATATTTGATTTGTTGATGGACCTGGGACAGCCATGTCGTACATAAGATCTGATGCTGTCTCTACTAGATCAATACAGAAATAGCACTCTAACATGGTACAAGTGGAAACTGTAGAAGAAATTGATTTAGTTCTGAAGTTTCCAGGTCCTGATCTGCCTGTTGGTACAGTACACTATCATGGCCAAAGCACAGGCAGTACTCTTTTCAGAAAATTCATTGGAAAAGTACCAAGAATCCACGACTCTTTGTAGGTGGTGTGCATGCACATCTTGAAGCATGAAATTAACCCATCTTTTGATATGATACAGAAGGTTACACACTGATACAGTTTTATAGAGAATGTCACTCCTTTCAGACACAAAATGATTGTGCCCATAACTGCAAGCCACAAGAGTAGGTTTGTGAGACGAATTGCAGTAGAACTGAGGCTTAGACAGGCCTGTGAGCTGGTCTAACCAAAGTCTTTCCCCTGCCTGAGGGAGGAAGCAGTAACTGTGAACAGGGCTGGGAGTAATGAACAATATGTTGACAGAAGTGTCATGGAAATAGGTTCCCATTATTGGTAACATACTTTAGTAGGATCATGTCAGCCTGTAAATATTGTGTCCCAGTTCTGTCATGCTGTAAATATTGTGTCACAGCAGTGTCATAGAATCCTGTAAATATTGTGTCACAGTTCTGTCATGCTGTAAATATTGTGTCACAACAGTGTCATAGAATCCTGTAAATATTGTCACAGTTCTGTCATGCTGTAAATATTGTTTCACAGCAGTGTCATAGAATCCTGTAAATATTGTGTCACAGTTCTGTCATGCTGTAAATATTGTGTCACAGCAGTGTCATAGAATCCTGTAAATATTGTGTCACAGTTCTGTCATGCTGTAAATATTGTGTTACAGTAGTGTCATAGAATCCCGTAAATATTGTGTCACAGCAGTGTCATAGAATCCTGTAAATATTGTGTCACAGTTCTGTCATGCTGTAAATATTGTGTTACAGCAGTGTCATAGAATCCCGTAAATATTGTGTCACAGCAGTGTCATAGAATACTGTAAATATTGTGTCACAGTTCTGTCATGCTGTAAACATTGTGTTACAGAATCCTGTAAATATTGTGTCACAGTTCTGTTATGATGTAAATATTGTGTTACAGCAGTGTCATAGAATCCTGTAAATATTGTGTTACAGCAGTGTCATAGAATCCTGTAAATAATGTGTCACAGCAGTGTCATAGAATCCTGTAAATATTGTGATACGGTATTGTCATGGATGCCTGTAAATAAATATGGACTTTTAGATCAGGTGCGTCACTCAGAGATAAAGGGTTTGATTCCCGGACTGGCTAGCCAGTGTATCATACCAAGGACAAGCATGTGATAGATGACAACAGAATCAACCTGACCATACATCATACCCATCTCATCTCCAGTTGAGTCCATTGTACAACAAGATGGTTCTGGAAATGTGTTCTTCCTCAGAATGTACACAGGATTCACAATCAACAGCCTTGTACTACAGCCTTGTTCACACAGCCAGGTGGTATTCAGTGGTCAGCAAACATAGGGCATATTTGCAAGCATGCCAAAGTAGGGAGAGTTGCCAAATCTTTTCTGTACCAAAGGTACTTAAATTACAAAATACTTCCATGTGTCCAAAATCAATGTTAATTGGAAATATTTCACATTCTGGATTTGATGCATTAATAAAACAACTCGTATGTACTAAAATGGTTTTTCAAATCTGTTAATCCAATTATCCTTCAGATAGTGATGATAATGAACATGTTGGCTCGGAGTTGTTGGTGATTCTGTCCACTCACAACTTACAACTGAATTGGATACCTATTTACAGACATTTCAAACGAAATGCTATGAAAGCAAGTGAATATTTCATGTCGACCAACATCTAATAATTTGCCTGACTCATCAAGTAAACAGTTACTGAGTCACTGGACAAGGTCTCTACACAAGCAAATTCCATGCAGCAAGCAGGAAAATGACAGTTTCATTATTATCAGCTTAATCAGTCCATTTATGTACCTGAGGTTTCTCCCTTGGGCTGATATCTTCCTCATCAGATGAGCTGCCTGTGTAGGATGCTGAAAAACAAATAATACCTGTTAAAATCTACATCCCTAAAAAAACCCACCTTGCTAATTTACTAAACTATTATTTGAATAGCTATGTGACGATGTAACTTGTTGTCTCACATCTCCTGTAGGGAGTACCTCCATCACATTAATTACATATGTAAAGCATAAAGCATCCATACATCAGCCATTTCCAGTAGATTGGATTCTGTTGGGATCTTTGTCAAGATGAGATAAAATCCCTAAATCCTTGACATTTTGTTTGATGTAGTTTATTCTGCGCTTCTTTAAGCAGATCAAAGAGTCTTGAAATAAAGCAACCTTGAACATTTGCGAGAAAAACAACACACAGATTTTGGTTTGCCCAAAATAGCATGGTTCACAATAAACATCAAAAACCTTTTTTTTCACCAGTTCTATTCACACAATACTAAGTCATAATTCAAAATGGCTGGTACAAAGGGTACATTCGAGTTGCCAAAATATCCCTCATCTTGACAGATATAGTTTAATTACAGAAATAGAAACTCTACATATAGTTCTAACGCAGGTTTGGTCCAGAAGGAACTGAATAGCCTAAGGGTCCCTGTGTAATTAATTCTAGTGGGCAGGATATGACTCAAGCAGTAAGTCTACACGCTCTGCAAGACAGAACTGTCAGGCATGACAAATACTCTGACTTAACACAGAGAGAGAGGTGGAAAGATGAGGGCAGGTTATTTGTGTATGACAGGCAGCGTCATTGGTTTCACCTTGGCAGAAGGGCGGCAGCCTATTCTAGCCCGACAGAGGACACAATTGACGGCCATTACATCTGTTGGGTTTCTTGCTCTGACCACGGGAAATTGGCTGCCATATGACTTCTTATAGAGATGCCATCATTTTCCAAACCTGTCTTGCCTTTGAATCAAATGTCAGTATATTTATAACTATTTAGCTGTTATCCCCAATATTCTCGAGCCAAATGACTTGACACAATATTGTGATGGACACTGTTCTCAAACTCTACCCAAACAATAGTCAAAATACATCGCATAAAAACACAACAACCAAGTTCAAACATTTTGGATTTTGTGTGGACATGTACTCAAAAGATTTGGAAAAGCCTTCTGCTGGGAAACAGAACTATACTACCATTCAACATACATGCTGAAAAACAACTAAATATGTCACTATGCCTTACAACACAACTGCAAATAACATGATACACAATTATGATAAAAACTGTCACAGTGTCATTATGCCTTTGGTAGATACTACCCCAAGACATCCTCACACCAGCAGGGAGATGAGGCCCACCAGGCATCAGACTGAGATGAAGTATAGGATCAGACAGTGGCTCACCACACAACACCATCAATAAACTTCAGAAGCATGTGAAAGATTAAACCTTCAGTGTTTGATAAAACAAATATGCAGACATTAAAAACAGAGGGTGTCCAGAGACAGATTCTGTTTTAAGGCGGTCTAGCTTATATCCTTCAATGCACAATATGTGTATTGCATGGTTATTAGGTCTCTGGTTGACACAGGATACTTACAAACACTATGGTCTCTCATTATGATGGTTGTTGTTGCTAGTGTACTCCCTTGTTAAAGAGTGTGACTGCTGTAAATGCTGGATGACTGTCAGGTAAGAGTGGAATACCAGTGTTGTCCAGTGACTGTCAGATAGCGGAGTGGACAACCTATCTCTCCTCCACTGATGTCAAGCTAGACAGGGGTACAGGTCCAGCAACTAGGTTCGTATTTGTCATGGGTGATATATGAAAATATTAACGTCATTTCTTAGCTGACAGGTGTAATGTATGCATATTCCTCGTAAACTTCCGACAGCCTTCAGGCACACACCTATAAAGGATTGAGAAGCTCCAAGCCACTGAGGTCATCATTCATAAGTGTCTGTTGTGATATCCTGATTTGTTGACAAGGGCCAGCTACACACAAGAGTTGGGACTGTTGTAGCAGGTAAAAGTATGGTCCAGTATGCAACACACAGCTCGAGGCTCGGCTTCTCAAACACAGCTAACATGTCAATGTTACCCCCAGGGGCAGTCTTATATTAGTGACGTAACAGGGCATTTATGCCAAATCAGACGTGTAGATACAGTTACCCTTGAGGTAACATTGTTGGATAAAGGTCATAGGCCTTGACGGAAGTTCATAAAGTATCTATATAACGGATAATAATTTCACTTTATAAAACAAGTATACCATGTGATTAATTCTGGTCAGTGTATTGACCTGTGTGTCATTGATCAGTTTGATGGTGATGTAACGCGGTCAGCAACCTCTGACCACTGTTTGCCCTGACCCTAATAACCACTTGCAGCCATCCATTACCAGGACAGTGGAGGCCCTCTCCACATGGCCCAGCTACTGTGCTGTAGAATTGTCAGCATCTTACACTGTAGTGACTACTGCAGGTGTGTAGTAATCCCTCACTAATAACTTAACTCATCTCCAGTGTTCCAGAGCTTCTGTCCAGGGTCAGGGCACAATGGTCTCCCTTCTTGTCCAACACAACAAATCACTTATGATGTCACCTACCCACAAATCTGGCCTGAGGGGCTGATTGGATGACACAATGTCGTTAGTCAATATGACTAACAATGGTCACTCCCTAAGGTCAGTGGGTTTCACAGCATACAATGTTACTGTATGCAAGTCTAACAACTGATTGGTCATCTGCTAGTTGATTTAGGTCTTTCCTAGTCTGTCTCACAGTTCCTAAGCCGTGTTATTTTCCCTTCCGCCCAACCCTTTCTACAATGCTAAAGCTCTAGATGAAGCAAGTCTAGATTTCATCAGGTTCCTATCTGACTGAAGCTCCTTTTCAAATTAAAAGGAATTATTTGTTTCTATCAAAATTAAGTATATTCAGAGACTAAGCATTAGTGTAGGTCTTTTCATACTGTTTATGTGTGTGTTTTTTGGTTTTTTTAATTGGTTCCCAAGATTGTAATATCACAGATATACAAAGCCGTGTTACATGGCTTAAGGTAATATAACTACATGATGTACAGGTAAGATATCAATATATTAATATATGCATAAACATGTATAAATCATAAATGGACAATGTATAGATAATGTCAGGTACAAATCAATACAGTTTAGAGTCATCTAAGTACTAGGAAGAGAAGGCTCCATTTGTGATTGAAATTATTTATTTTATTATTTTTTGTTGATGATTTTCCACAAAGAATATTTCTTTTAGAGTTTTTATGTATAAAGTTAGATTTGGAAGCATATGTTTAATACTGCAAATGTTAATATGTCTCTTCACAGCAATAATGATGTAATTTAGTATTCTATTTTCATGTGGAGTACCAAACCATGTTTTTTTTATAATATCAATGGATGAGGATATAAATAGTTAAGCCAAATTTGTATGTTTATCCAAAAGGTTTGTGTCTCCTGACATTCCCAGTACACATGACACACACTCTCATTTACAGCATTGCAAAAACAACATAAACTGTTATCAACTTTTTTCATTTTGACCAATTCCTTTTTTGTATAAATGATACCTTGTAGAAATCTATGTTGAAAGTCAATAAGCTTTGTATCTTGTAATCCCTTTCTATATACTGTAAACATATTTTTCCAATCAAAGTCAGTTTCAGGAAATAAATGCTGCCATTTATTACAAATGTTAGGATATTTATCAGTGCAAATAAGTTTATCATAAAAAACCTGCAGTCTTTTGATGCTTTTACTAAATCTATCTGGCATTGGTTAATATTCAAATTCCTGACTGGGATAGAGTTACAGTGCTTAAAGTATGTTTCCAAGATTCAGGTAATATGTTCAGTAAATATCTACAATCTAAAATAGTACCTTTGATATGATAATTTTCTTTTAAAGAATCTATTGATAGTAATCCATTTTCATCACATATATCCCTAATATTTATAATCTCTATCTCTGCCAAATTCTTTATGAAATGTGAAGAGTTTTTGAAGTTGTGATTGAACCATAGTGGTTGGGATAGAAGTTCATTAATGTTATTTGGATCTACATAACGTTGCTTGTGAAATAGTTTCCATGCTTTCAGCACATCATGCCAAAAAGGGTTTTCAATCTCAATAAAAGTTTCAGAATTTGCTCCAAAATTAAATATATCTTTGAAAGGTATATTGCATGGATTTTTTCCCCCACATTTTTAAAATAAAGTCTTAAAGTGGATAATTTCAAAGTGTCAATAAATCGATTTATATCAATCATTCTTAATCCTCCTTTTTCATATCTATGTTTTTATTACACTCCTCTTTATTTTACTGTTTATGTGTGTTTGTTGTTTATTCCAGCTATAAAAGGCAGTCAGATGATCAAGTATGAACCAGACAATTCAGTGATTGATACGTCCAACATTATCTGCATTTGGGACAGAATAACAAGATCTCACCAAAGTCACTGAACCCAACCACTCATTGAGGTCGTCTCTTGCCATCAGCCTAGGTTAATGGGAACCCGTTTTATCAAAGAATCCCAAGGAATTCATACTTGAGACAATTATACACACATCAGCCCACTTCCCTGCAGTTAAAAAATATATATACTGGCCACATAAAGAAACTGTGCACACAGAAAATATAAAGATAGACAGACAGTGTCTTTATACATAAATAAAGGTGTGAACATAGCAAGTATTGGAGACAATCAAACGCTCATGCAGGTGCCAGGTGACGTGACGTCATTGATGGCGGCCTATGGACTTGCAATGTGTTGCTGCACACAACATGAAAACTCAGAAATTGCTGTCACTGTCGAAAGCTTGATCTTTGGTCACTAAAACGTTCACAAATTCACATGAGAAGTCACATGCACATCATGTCAAAATTAGCATCTGCTAAACGTCACGAAATCATTGGAATGTTTCGAGCAGGCATGAGCCAACAACAGGTGGCAGCACATTTCCAATGCAATCGTAACACAATATCTGCATTGGTCAGTTGTTATGGAAACAGTAATGACGTCGCCAACCACCCACGTTTTGGGCATCC